CACCTTTGAGAACATGATCTCTAATGAAATGATGCCTAATGTCAATATGTTTCGTCCTTGAGTGAAGAACCGGATTCTTCGTCAAGCTTATGGCACTAGTATTATCACATCGAAGAGGGACGTGATCGATACTAAGGCCATAATCCACAAGTTGTTGCTTCATCCAAAGGATTTGAGCACAACAACTACCGGTGGCAACGTATTCCGCTTCGGTTGTGGATAACGCAACACTGACTTGCTTCTTACTAAACCATGAGACTAAAGAACTACCAAGCAAGTGACAAGTCCCACTCGTACTCTTACGGTCTAATCTACAACCAGCAAAGTCCGAGTCGGAATAGCCAAAAAGATGACAAGGAGACCCTTTGGGGTACCATAGTCCAACGTTCATTGTACCAACAAGATATTTCATTATCCGTTTTACCGCCGTTAAATGCTATTCTTTCGGACAAGATTGATACCTTGCACATAAACAAACGCTAAACATGATATCGGGTCTACTAGCAGGAAGATAAAGAAGGGATCTGATCATACCTCGATACTTCTTTACGTCTACTTCCTTACCCTTTTCATCTTTGTCCAAGTGCTCGGAGGTGCTCATTGGGGTAGCCATTGCTTTGGAGCCATCCATTTCAAATCTCTTTAGGAGCTCCTTGCAATACTTTGATTGACAAATGAAGGTTCCTTCCCTCATTTGTTTGACTTGTAAGCCCAAAAAGAAATTGAGTTCCCCCATCATGGACATCTCAAATTCATTTGTCATTAGGTTTAAAAATTCCTTGCACAAAGATTCGTTAGTACCACCGAATATAATGTCATCTACGTAAACTTGCACCAAGAGGATGTTATCGTTTTTATTCTTGATAAAACGTGTAGTGTCAACCTTCCCCCTTTTGAACCCGTTGTCCAAAAGAAATTTGCTCAAACGTTCATACCAAGCACGAGGAGCTTGTTTAAGACCGTAGAGTGCTTTCTTTAGTTTATAGACAAACTCCGGGTGCTCAAAATCCTCAAAGCCCGGGGGTTGATCAACATACACTTCCTCTTGAATAAAACCATTGAGGAAGGCACTCTTAACATCCATTTGGTATAGTTTAAAATCCATAGATGAAGCAAAAGCGAGTAATAAACAAATAGCTTCTAAACGTGCTACCGGTGCATAAGTTTCTTCAAAATCAATGCCTTCTTCTTGATTGTAGCCTTTAGCTACGAGCCTAGCTTTGTTTCTAGTGATTATTCCATTTTCATCGAGTTTGTTACGGAACACCCATTTCGTACCAATTATGGTATGATCATCGGGTCTTGGCACCAATTCCCAAACGTCATTTCGTTTGAATTGGTTAAGCTCCTCTTGCATTGCCAAGGTCCAATGTTCATCATCAATTGCTTCCGAAATGGTTGTAGGTTCAATTTGAGAAACAAAAGCCATGTGACCTACGGTGTCCCTGAGAGAGCTACGAGTACTTACCTTTCGGTTGATGTCACCGATCACCTTATCAAGAGGATGGTTCTTTGAAGTCCTCCATGCCCTTGGCATTGGCGTTTCCTCCTCTTGTGGTTGTTCCTCGTTTACGGGTGTCTCTACTTCTTCATCTTGGCTTTCCTTTGAGTTGTCTACTTTGTCATCGTCGTAGATGTTTTCCAACGAATCTATAAGATCATCACAAGAAACCTTTCTCGCCAAGCGAGCATCATTTTCGGCGAAGACAACATGAGGAGATTCCTCAACGGTTAAGGTGCGTTTGTTGAAGACTCTATAAGTCTTACTACGCAATGAATAACCAAGAAAAATTCCTTCATCCGATATTGCATCAAATTTACCCAAATTATCTCTTCCGTTATTGTGAACAAAACATTTGCAACCAAAGACTCGAAGATGGGAGAGGTTTGGCTTTCTTCCTTTGTATAATTCGTATGGGGTTTTCATGAGTATCGGTCTAATGACGGCTCGGTTTAACACGTAGCTCGCGGTACTCACGGCATCCGCCTAAAAATACTTAGGAATTTTTGCCTCACCAAGCATAGTTCTAGCCATCTCCTCAAGGCAACGATTTTTACGTTCCACCACGCCATTTTGTTGTGGTGTACGTGGAGCGGAGAAGTTATGCTCGACCAAGCATAGTTCTAGCCATCACCAAGCATAGTTCTAGCCATCTCCACCATGATCGCTTCGTATGGCTACGGTGGTTAAGCCTTTTTCATTTTGAACCTTTTTGAGAAAAGTTTTGAAAACATGAAATGCCTCACTTTTATGAGTTAGAAATAGTGTCCATGTGAATCGAGAGTAGTCATCAACAATCACAAAGGCGAATTAGTTTCCCCCAAAACTTTTTGTTCTTGATGGTCCAAAGAGATCCATGTGCAAACGTTGTAGGGGCCTTGTTGTAGACACAACATTCTTTGATTTAAATGAGGCCCTTACTTGCTTGCCCTTTTGACATGAATCACGAATGGTGTCCTTCTCAAACTTGAGTTTTGGAAGGCCAACTACTAGGTCTTGTGAAACCAATTTATTCAGAAGATTCATGTTGACATGAGCTACTCTACGATGCCATAGCCACATATCGTCCTCCTTACTCATGAGACATTTTGCAAAGTCGGAGGGAGATTCATCTAAGTTAACCATGTAAATGTTATCAATTCTATCACCACGAAGAATCGTCTTATTGTCACTAAGACGTTCTATCGTACATGAT